CCAGGCCTGCTCCATTAACCACTCCTTGGGATTTACTACAAGTCCAGCTTAGCTACTTGGAGACTGTGCTGAGAGCATTTAGAGCTTAGAGGAGGTGGGAGGGGGCCCAATGACTGTGCCCTCTCCCTCCCCGAGGGTCCCAAGGGTTAAGAAGCTCAGTCATCTTCCACGGTGGGGCTGTGGCCACCTCTGGTGCAGCTCTGCAGTGATTACAGTCTGCAGTCCCCTCACTGCTGCATGGACATGTCCATCCCCACCTCTCCTTAGTGGCTCGTTTTATTTGCTTGGCCTCTTGAGCAGATGCCAAGTTCCTCCCCTCAGGCAGCAGCGTTTTGGAGGCAGGTAAGTGACACCAGCTCCAGACTGGGAGTGGGACAGGCAAGGGCGTCAGAGGAGCCTGTGCGGCCTCAGCTCCTGGAGAGGGCAGGGATGCCCCTCTCCCGCTCATTTGATCAGGCTGGATGGAAGCCTGGGGAGACCCTTTATACTCAGAATTCATTTCCATGCCTCTGACAGAGAAACCGTCTGAGGGAAAATTCTTTATGTTCCACAGTTCCTTCAGTGCACAGGGATGGGGACAAGACTCCGAGGCGAATCAGACCTGCTCAGATTAATAGGGGAGAATCCACGAACAGCCAAATTTTTTTTTTACAGAGTATCTGTAGCATGGGTGCCTGGAGGAGGCTTATGAGAGAAAGTCAGACTTCAAAGGGAGGTCACACTGGAGTGAGACTAAAACTGGTGGGAAGTGGGAGGAGACAGCATGAAGGGAGGGCTGAAGGGGACGCAGCCTGGGGTAGGGAGAGAGGTCGGCGGGGACACAGATATGGACGGCAGGACTAGGAAGAGGGGCTCTACCTTCCTCCAGGTTTCAGGGCTCCACATACCCCTTTTCTGGAAGATTCTTCCCCCGGATGTCCACCTGGCTCTCTCCCTCCCTCTACTCAAGTCTCTGCTCAAATCCCTTGGTCAGAGGCCTTCCCTGATGACCCTTTATAAAATCGTCATTGCCCTCCCTGCTCTCTCTCTGCAGTATGGTGTTCACTCCAGAAGGTCAGGGACTTTGCTCATTTTGTTCACTGCTGTGCAGGAACTTAGAACTGTGCCTGGCACAGAGCAGACTCTGCACAGGTATACATTTGCTATGAATTAGATGAATGACCAGCAGCCCTGGCCGGGCGGCTCAGTTGGTTGGAACCTCTTCCCGTGCACCAAAGGCTGTGGGGTTCCGGCCAGGGCACATTCCTAGGCTGTGGGTTCAATCCCCAGTCGGGGGTGTATGGGAGGCAACTGATTGATATTTCTCTTGTTCTCTCTTCCTCACTCTGAAAACATATCCACATGTGAGGGTAAAATGAAAACAGAATGGCATCAACAGATGGTGACATACGTGCCCTCACTCACCTTACTTGCCTAGATAGTGGTGCAGCCCTGGCTAGGCCCAAGAGAAATGAGAATGGCAGAAGTGTGACATCTGCTAGTGAGAATAAGGATGGCTACCTCTTCTCTAGAGCCGAACAGGATCAGTTCCTCAAAGGAGGCTCACTTGGGTCCTTTGTCTGTGCTGTGTGACCTGGCCCCCAGGGGTAACAACCCTCAGGTTTGTAACACAAGACCGCAGTTTCCAAATACCAGCTGTGGTCAGGACCCAAGCTCCTCAGGAATAACCCTGAATTTTGAAATTCTGTCTTGACAAGACAGCTCTTGAGTAGACCTCCCCAGGAACTGGAGTTCTGAACCTCAGAAGTACGTCCCTAACCTTCCATCCTGGCTAGGAGAGCGATCTGAGACCTCCAGTCCCCAGGGATGACAGAGATGGGTCTGAAGTCCCCAAATCCAGGACCCTAGCAGCCACATCACTAGAAGCCAGGCCACACTGCCAGCCAGGGTATCCCGTCCACGCATAAATCAGGGGAACCCAAGGGAGATCTGGAAAGGCAACTGCCACTGAAGTCGCCTCAAAGAACTCAGGGAAGAAAAACGTGGGCCCAGTGGACCTTGAAAGATAACGGCCCAGAAGTACTCTAGAGCATGAAGGATCACTCCCCTCTTCCTCTGCTGGTGGGCTACCAGGGGGAGAGCCAATCATCTACCTAGTCTTTAAAGATGTGGGGAAATGGTACCAACCCTAACCTTCTGGAGACAGACTTAATGCTTCATGCAAGGCCCTGGAAGGCAGGAGAGCATGCTGACCTTTTCTCACTGTGTGATGGTGGGCACAGGAGCTCGCCTCTTGTCTGTGAAATGATGCCATCAGGCAGGAGGCTGTGAGTTCTGTGAGAAAGCACTTAGCATCCATCCACCCAGCACATGCCAGGCACTCAGTGAGTCTGTGCCTTTCTTCCCTCTCCTAACCATGTGCAAGAATGTTGGCCATTTCTCAGTGATTTTCCTGGGGGAGCTGGGAGGGGCTTCAGGACATCTCCCAGAACCTCTTTCCCTTGCCTGGCAGCCCTGAGGGCAGGGCTTTGTCCCAGTGTCACAGAAGTCTGCAGCTGGGGGGAACCCTACGTGGGAAACAGGGCACTTGTTTAAAATGCAGATCCCTCAGCCCAGTCCAGTGGTACAGCCCCCTCACTGCATTTTAACAGGGCTCTCTCATGATCACTGTTCCCTGAGGCTGGGATCTCCAGTTAAGAGGTCATGTCTGGAGCTCCTGGATGGACTCTGCAAAGGTGCGCAGGAGCAACGAAAAATCAGACGGAAAATGTGCTTGCTCAGTTTCTGCCAGTAGAGGGAGCTGTGAGCCTTCAAACCACCAGGTAGCCCCCTGCTGAATCCCAGACCTAAAGGTTCTCCCAAGGACCACACTTGGGTTTGACAAGTATATACTTCTTATCAAGCAATTTTACAGTCTGTCAGCACTTAGCTTTTCTATGTCTTTCTCTTTCACCCACTCTGTCATCAGCCCAGACTCTCCCTTGTCAGAGGGCAGCAGAGACAGAAAGGACAGGTCAGAATCAGAGCTCGCAGGTAACTTGGAATCCCTCCCTGGCTCAACCAACCCCCCCCCC